AACTACGTATTTTCACTAAAGATTTGTATGTATGTGTATATGTATAATATAATATATATATATATATATGGAGCCAGTGTTGATTAGTCCAAGTGTTAGGTGATTTCCTTGTTAAGATTATGACTGCTTTCATCAAAGTTTTCAAATTTCATTTATATAACCTCTAAAACCTATATGAATATCAAACGTTTTTTAAGTAAAACTTTATATTTTATATGTTGATTTGACCAACCTTCTAACAATCACAAAAATAAATCAATCTAAATTACCCTTTTTCTTTCTAGAATGACTGCACATTGTAACAGAAAACTACAATTGTTTATCTTAAATAGTTTAACGCTCATAACAGTCTAAATCTGCTTCTATTTAATTTTACGTTTTATTGCATTTTGAACCATGTCAAACTAATAATCCCACAACAAAAGCTGTAAATCACTTGGCAAACAGGTAGCTCAAGTTATTTTACTGAATGATGAAGGCACAAGCTACTTGCAAGCATATCTTGAAGAAATTTAAGTTCCTTTTTTTTACATTGTAGTTTGTTTATAACAATCAATAAAATATATATAAAAAACAAGAAATGCAGTATTTACATTTGGTCTCTTATTTTTTACTGTCATCTTGCCAATGAAACTTAAGCCTACTTTTCATTTTGTACTAGTACATCAAAAACGTTTAATTTATTTCAATATGCTCCTAACAAGACAAAGCAAACATTATCCTATATCTACTATAATTTAACTGGATTTCTAACTAAAGTATAAGTGCCTTAACCCTATGACCAAAGGTGCACTCCTCAAATTCCTTTCTGCGCACCTCACAAAGTGTTACTGAGTTACATTCCAAATTTAATTATAACTCTTTACTATCACTGTATTTTAATGAAATTATTATTATCAAGTAAGTTATAGTTGAAAGTTTTTATCATCTTAGTTTTTACTTCTTTATTTCAAAAGAGACACTGAAAACAATAACGAAAACTTCTCGTTTTGTTGTCAGATGATGCATGAGCTATAATTTTGAACTTTCACAAAGTATAAGTAGAGTCATACAACTGTAGTCTTGTACACTTGTCTGGACACTAATATATGTTTATTTGTCCTAATGACATGTGTATTTCAAAGTTATTTGGCTAAATGCAGTAGAAACAAGTAATAAATTTTATCAACCCCTGATGGGTGCCATGCCAATCTTCTATACTTAGCCTTGAGCTTTGTGTAGTAAGTACATATAGCACATACACGTTTATAGTCATTAGAAAGGGCTCATTTTACACTACAAGGATGGTAGCAGAAAGAAGTTGAATTGACTGAAACACTCAGAGATATAGGGGAAGTGAGCACTGCAGGTGAGCTTTTACACTCTAAAATGCAATCAGAACCATTATCTGGAACCTATTGCTCAGAGAACTGTGTTGTTAAAAGATCATATACATCAACTAAGTTATTCATGTAGCCATACTTTGGCTCATGAGATGTAACAAACAGAATTGTGACTCAATATACTAGACTTCCAGTTTTCTATATTCTAAATCCAACAGGCAGATTATATATGCCCCAGCCCACTACCCCTACCCCTTTTGCAAGTAACACAGACTTGCTACAGTTGCAGTGTTCCACTTACTAAGTAAAAGTTACAAATATAGTCAATATTACTAGGCACTACTGAATTAATGGAATTATGATGTAGATTTATATTAAAATACTATTAGATCTAGTCTAGGACTTTTCAGTTAGGCTGTATTATTGGCATTAAGACCATATAGGCTTACTATGCTTGCAGCCGGGTAAGCTTCATTTGTAGTTAACCTTACCATGCTTACAACTTACAAACAAGTTACGTTGTTATAGACTAAATCACTAACAAGTTTAGGCCTATTACAGACAAAATAAAGTGAATATAGATCTAGATCAAGTTTGATTACATTCATGACTGTACAGGAATTACTTTGAATGGATCATTGCTAACTTGGTAAGTAAATTGTGAATTATGTGATACGTACTTCACTTTGGAAAATTGATGAGCAACTATATTGTTAATATATACATGCTGCTCTACAATATTTCCAAGTTTTCCCAAAGTTACATATCAGTAAACATTCATCCGAAAATTTCAAAGTAAGCATACATTTGTAGTAGTCATTTGTTCAATAGCTTTGGGTATCGAAATTAAGAAGTCAGATTTTTCATTTTACCAATTTTATCTTTTTCAACAGATGGAAATCCATCCTGATATGGAACTCTGCCTTCTCTGACACTATAATACACCAATGGATGTTTTGAAATCGGTGCCCAGTTGTCTTCATCAGGTAGATGTAACTACTTGTACAATTGTTGGCTGCTTTGTTCACAATAGCACTTCAATTGTTTCTTACTTAAATATGTTATAGTTAATTATACATCATTTGTGTTTTAAAATTCATATTTGAAAAGTTTGATAAATTTTAAATATATCCTAATATAAACTTCATTCCACAAGTTTTAGAACACAAAGTGTGTACAAATTGATTTTGTAGGAGGCTAAAGTTTTTCTGCCATTTATACCATTCTATTGCCCACGAGTAGCTGTTGATGTGTATAAATACAAATAATTAAGGGTAAATAACAGGAAAGTAAAATAAAATATTAAAATTAAACTATTAGTGAAAAGGTAAAGACATGAAATTACGCATATGAACCAAAGAAGATATTTTAAGACTATTCTATGAAGTTAAGTACATATTTCTATTTCTTAATTTTAAATATTTCATTGCACTGTAGATTGATGATGATAGCTAGAGTTAATAATACAGTCGAGAAAATGGAAAATGAAGTATAAATATTCACCTTAAAAAAACTTTATATTCATTTAGGAGGTTCTAGAAATTATGCAAATGAAATGTGAAAACTAAGATAATAAACAGTATTTTCATATTCAAGATGAAAATCACCTTGCAAGTGAACTATTCAGAGTCCAAGTGCAAATAACTACACTAACCCTATCACTACAGGTATTCTTTACTGCGCATGACACAATGTTTTAGTGTTTTACATTAAAAATTTTATTAAACTACTTTCTGTTTATATTATACTAATTAGCATAGCATACCATCTTAGTTAATAATCAATATTTTAATATAATACAAGTTTTGAGTTCTTAATTCTATAAGGCAATATAAAAAAATTGTGAATTTCCCTAGTGTGACACATTTTCTAAAGGCATCTTCTCTATTTCATCCACCATGCCTCCAATAAGTACGAAATTAAACATAAATTACTCACCATAAAATCATCATCGCTCAGAAAAACCATAATTTTTATAGCCTTCACTTTTTTTGGAGTACAGAGCTATCAAATATAAAATCAGACCCCTCTTACCACACTCACCTACCACATCCTCTCTTTAAATTATACATTACCTATCATCAATAGAAAGCCAAGGTTTTCATCTATCAAATAACGTTTTGTATAACTTTGTATTCGGAACAGATAATTGTCAATTTTACTCAGAGTACAAGCTCTGTTCCTGAGGAAAAGCTAATGACTAGCTTAGATGAATTTGTAATGGTCCTTGTCGCATAGTTAGAAAGCCAGAAAATATTTGAGAGTTAGAGGAAATTGTCTACTTTTAGTCTTTGGTGCATTATTCAATTAAATACAAATTATTTAGTGCATTACTACAATTAGTATAAAAAAAGCAGGGTTAAGTGTCATCAACAGCAAGAGAAAAGAAGATCGGGTGCGTACTTTATTTCTTGTTTTTCATATTTATTCTTTATTTCTTATTATAAGAGTAATTATAATGTAAAAATAGGGATCTTTTTAGGTTAGTTAAGATTACATTAGGTAAAATAAATGATAATATAATAAAAATGTTTCATGAGGCATGCATGGGAGCAGCTCATAGTTGCTCATGGGTAACATAACTCGAGAGCATAACGTGAGCTGCATGTTCCTAGTCATTTACAACTTAAAATGGCATGGATAGTAGTTATGCATGGTTCTAAAGGAAAAAATGAAATTTAATTATAAATAGAGTTATACTGTTACGAGTTTAAAGCTACTTAGGATAAATGATTGTAGATTCAAGCTATATTTGAAATCATTTTAGAAAGTAAAAGAGGTAATTTAAATTTATTTCAATTTTGTTTGGGGGGGGGGGGTATGAAGTCACTCCCATGATTCCATGAATATTCATACACAATGATAACAAAATAAGTTAATTAAATTTGGAATATAACTGTAAAATGACATGACATGCATTTTGAGAGAGGATTAACTGAACATTAACAAGCACTATTAAATGTTGATGTAAGAGTTACTTTTTTAACTGGTATGGTTTAAAAGTTATTCTTTTGATAGGATTGCCTTATACGTAACAAAAATCAACAGTATCGGCAAAAAAAGCATTCACTAATAACCAAATAGTTTTAGTTCTTATTTACACCTTTGTAATAACATACGATGGAATAGAATGAAGAGAAACATTAAAAGCACTCACAAAATATATTATTATAGCTTTCACTGATATTAAGTAGTAACATGAAACACAATTATTTAAATTTTTTTACTATTAATAGCTATTGCTACTCCTATTTACATGAGATAAAAATCTGAAACTCATATCCAAACTTTAAAAATATACATTAGCTATGAATTTTAAGTGAGCTTTTCTCTTCTACACTGTTTTTGTTACTTAATCCAGAAGCTTTCAGTCACAATTTCAGCAACCATTTTTAAATGTTTCTAAAAAAAAAAGAAGTACCTAAAGACAGTTGCTGAAATTTTTACCAAATTATTATGAATTAACTAAAGAAACAATTTAGGGAGAGAAACTTAATCATGTCTTACCATACACATACCACTCAACTATGAGCCAACATAACTATATATATATTAACTATTACAGTTAAGTTCAAGTGAGACATATTACACGTTTATACTGCACTAAGCAGCAGTTTTGTAAAAATGTTTTGAAGCTACAGATTGAAATACAAATAGATAAAACATACTATTACATACTTTTCTCCTCATGTAATTTACCACAACTGTGGGATCAAGCCGTGTACTGTATGTCATATTGTCAAACCCCATAAGAGATTCTTCACGACCTATATAAAGCAGTCGTTCTTCTTCTTTTACTTTCTCCACATTTTGGGTCATGACCATTAAATCTAATAAAATCCAACAGAACAAACAGAATATCATAAATAAATCTAAACATGTTCTATATATTATAATTTTATATCCATCTTACTGTACATCTTAGTAATATCTATCTATCCATCCACACACACACACACATACCAAAATAAAAACTTTGTTGTTAACTGTGACAATAACTTTTACTCATCTAACCTTACCATTTTATGTTTTGTTGTTTTTTTATTCAGTGCTGCAGTGTTAGTCAAATTAACAAAAACAGTGAAATATTTACGGCAGAAGCATTAAGCATTTAAATGAATACCAACATATATTTCTTATCCATAAAAACTGATTTGGAAAACAGAATGAATTTTGCTAGAATAATCTATGTATTTTATTCACTTTTAACCCTTTCGATACGGGTCACAGCTGAAGGGCCATGTCATCTCATTTGTTGACTAACATTCGAAATTTTATTGAACTACTATTTCATGAATTTATGTCAATAAGTTTG